AGGCTGAGCCAGAGAATGGCATAAACCGGGAGGCGGAGCTTGCAGTGAGCTGAGATCCGGCCACTGCACTCCAGCCTGGGGACAGAGGGAGACTCCGCTCAAAAAAAAAAAAAAAAAAAAAAAGATTTAATTTTGTTTGCTACTCCATCCCTAGGCTTAGCGCAGCCTTTGTGAGGTGAGCGAGTGAATGACATGACAATATGAACGCGAGTATTCTTTTCCAGTCCTGCTAAGTGGAAGCGGTCACAGCGTTTGGGTGGGTCTTCTCTCTCTGTGCCTCCGCGGCTTGATCAGTGCTGCACGACAGTGCGGCTAAATAAATGCTCCTGAAGGAACGATCGAGAAGCCGTGTTATTCGCGTGGTCTGGGGCTTACTGGAGACCACATGGACAGTGTAACGTCCCAAGGGTAGCAAACACCTGGCAGCCTTTGCCTTTATTGTTCCGCCTGGGGGGGGCCAGGAATGCCCATCATTTTCCCCTTTGGACTGGAATTGGTCTGGGGGCCAGGAAACGAACGTGGAAAAGCCGGGCGGCCCGAAAGAAGATACCCAGCCCGGCCTTCCCGGCTCCGGCACATCTCGCGAAAAAAAAAAAAAAAAAAAAACTCATCATTGACCAGGTGCGGTGGCTCTCACCTGTAATCTCAGCACTCTGGGAGGCCAGAGTGGGTGGATCACCTGAGGTCAGGGCTTCAAGACCAGCCTGGGTAACATGGCAAAACCTTGTCTCTACTAAAAAAATGCAAAAATTAGCTGGGCGTGGTGGCACACACCTGTAATCCCAGCTACTTGGGAGACTGAGGCTGAAGAATCGCTTGAACCCGGGAGGCGGAGGTTGTAGAGCTGAGATCGCACCACTGCACTCCAGCCTGGGCGACAGAGCAGGACTCTGTGTCAAAAAAAAAAAAAAAAAAAATCCCCAAAAAACAAAAGCCAAAACGAAACTCATCATTATGTGTAGATAGGAAATGTGCAATGAGGCATGGTGGATTGGTCAGGACTAAGTTTGAATATTTTTTTTTAATTAAAAAAATAGACAATGTGTCCATGTCCTAACTGCTGGTACCTGTGACTATGAGTTTATTTTAAAATTGTATTATTATTATTTTTTGAGGCAAGGTCTCACTCTGTCATTCAGGCTGGAGTGCTGGTATGATCATGGCTCACTGCAACCTTGGCCTCCCTAGCTCAAGCTATCCTCCCACCTCAGCCTCCCAAGTAGCTGGGATTACTGGCATGTGCTGGCTAATTTGTGTATTTTTTGTAGAGACAAGGTTTCTTGTCTCTACCAGCCCAGGCTGGTCTTGAACTCCTGGGCTCAAGCAATCCACTTACCTTGGCCTCCCAAAGTGGTGGGATAATCATCATGAGCCACTATGCCCAGCCAACTTTGAATATTTCTATGTAACCTTGAATTACTAACCTGACCTCTAAGTTTTTGTATCCTCATCAGTAAAATGGAGATTTTATAGTCATCTCATAAAGTTCCTAAGGATAGTAAACACATATAAAACACTTAACACAGTGCTTGGCATGAAGTCAGCAGGCAACAAAATTAGCTGCTACTAAGAGATGCAACGTGCATGCAGATTCCTAAGGGAACCTTTTCTTTGAGACACCTGATTACTGTTGTCATTTTTCCTCTGTAGCCCTGGAGTGGGAAATCCAGTCTGATGAGCTCTATTCCAACCCTCTTTCCTTCTTCCCTGAGGGGATGGGCAGCACAGAGATGCCCCCTCTCCCTGGAAGGTACTTCCTTCATTGCTAGCCCTTATCTGTCTGGTCCCCTAAAACTGAGGCCACCCCCCAGCTCTCAGTTCAGGATCCCCAGGGAGGGCAGAGGCAGGTCTGTTTGGCTAGCTCCCCTCCCCAAGTGGGGCAGGGGGTTTGGCCCTGGGAGAGGAGAAGGGGAGGAAAGAATGGGGCAGGGGCAGGGGGGCAGTTGCGGGGAGGAGCCCCTGGGGAGGCAGCAGGGAGTATCTGCCCACAGAGCAAGGACAAAATGGTGATCAGGAGGGAAGAAGGGAAAGAAATGCATCCAGAGGGAAGTTTAGAAAGCTGAGGGAGGCCAGGCATGGTGGCTTACTCCTGTAATCCCAGCACTTTGGGAGGCCAATGTGGGAGGATCATTTGAGCCCGGGAGTTCAAGACCAGCCTGGACAAATAGCAAGACCTGGTCTCTACAAAAAATTAAAAAAAAAAAAAAAATAGCCAGCATAGTCCCAGCTACTGGAGAGGCTGAAGGGAGAGGATCACTTCAGCCCAGGAGTTGGAGGCCGAGGCCGA